AGAGAAATCGCACTGATGGCGTGTAATTTGAAGCGAAACCAAACCGGTGACCGAGCGGATCCGGGTCACCCACCTTTTTGCCTAAGTGGACAATACAAAAATCTCCACGCACGCGCGTGTACTTTCGTGGAGAGTTCTGTTTTGTCCACAATAGAGAAGTTGCCCCGTTGGCCTGGAAACTACAGTGGAACATCAACGTTGGCCGCGTGGATTTCGGGTGGCCCGCCCGACTCTTCTAGTATGGACGATACAGAACCCACCAGACGCTTGCGTTCGTAGCCGCGTAGAGAGTTCTGTTTTGTCCAAACTAGAAACGGTGCCCTGTTTGCCTGGAAACGAAGGAGTGAGCCGTTAACGGTGACCGATGACCGAGCGGATTGCGGTGATTCGCCCGATTTGTCCAGTGTAGACGATACAGAGACCTCCACACACGGTCGCGCGCACCCGCGTGGACACTTTGATTTTGTCCACAATTGACAGGTCGGTGTGCCTGCCTGGAAACTGAAGTGACCCCTCGACGGTGACTGAACGGATTTCCAGGGACCCGCCCGACGTGTCCAGCGCAGCCTCTATCCACGCCAGGGTCGCACAGGGCAAGGCAGGCGCGGCAGTTTCTCGGCACCAGTGAGGGTGTGCGTGAAGTAGTATTTGAGTGCGGTCTCGATCCACTCCAGGGCGCAGGGCATGTCAGGCGCGGCGCTCTCGACCCAGAGAGGGTGCGCAGGGAGTGGTCTTTGAGCGCGGTCTCTATCCACGCCGGGGTCGCAGGGCGTGGCGGGCGCTGCACGACGACAGAAGGGGGCGTCCGGAGACTATCCCCAGAGCCCCGACCGGGTTCTCTTTTTTGAATAGTTAGAGCATTGAGGTCGCGTCTTTTTCCGCCTCCCGCCTCTTTTCTTCCCTCCTCCTCATCAGATTCTTCTCTCCTGCCTCTTACCTGGCCCTTTCCTGTACCTGCCAGCCTGCCTCCTACTTCGCCGTCCTACCTGTGACCTGTCATGCCGATGGGGGCTGCAAACTGCGAGATTGCCATTTTCGATGGCTGTTGGAGGGGCTAGGTCAGCGACGTCCCACGCGGACTCAGATTGGACCTCTCCATGCCTTCGTGGCTGCGAAATACGAAGTTGTCGCCACGTTTGAGAGCTGCGGGGGGGGGAAGATCAGTGACGTCCTTACGCGGATTCGGGTACTCTCGACAATTGTTGGAGGGCCAGCATAGCGACGGCCTACGCGGACCCAGACTGGTACTCGCCATCCTTGGGGGGCTGCGCATTGCGAACCTGTCGGGGCAGCACAGCGGCGTCCTACGCGGACACACTGAGTAGGCCGCGCCATGCTTGGGGGAGGCACGCACTGCGACGCTGCCGCCACTCTCGAAGGCTGCGGGGAGGGCCAACATAGTGACGTCTTGCGCAGACTCAAGTTGGACCTCGCCAGCCCTGGGTCCGAGGCGGGAATTTATACATGACCACCGCCTGGAGGATCAATTTTCGGAGCCTCGGCAGACGGTGGATATGCTTTGGGGGAAGCCTCGGAGCCTGGGGGCCGAAGTATATCCACATCCACCGCCCGCTGGGGCGCCACGACGTCGGTTCCCAGGCGGTGGGTATGGATAAATCCCCGCCTCGAACTGGGGGGGCGCGAATTGCGTCGTTGTCGCCACTTTCGAGGACTGCGGGGGAGGGGCAGCACAGTGACGTCCTGCGCGGATTCAGATCCGACCTCGCCATCCTTTGGGGTGCTGCGAACTGCGAGACTGTCGCTGCTTCGAGGCCTGCTGGGGGCTCATATTAGACCTCGCTATCCTTGGGGGGCTACGAACGCGTCGCTGTCGCCTCGAGTGCTGCTGGGGAGGGGCCGCGCAGTGGCGTCCTGCGAATAGACCTTGCCATCCCTGGGGAGCTGCAAACTGCGACGCCGTCGCCAATCCTGATGGCTGATGTGGGGGGGCAGCGCAGTGACATCCTACGCAGAGTCAGGCTGGACCTTGCCGTCCCTGGGGGGCTGCAAACTGCGACGCTGTCGCCACTTCTGATTGCTGATGGAGGGGGTCAGCGCAGTGACGTCCTACGCAGAATCAGACTGGACCTTGCCATCCCTGGGGGGCTGCGAACTGCGACATTGTCGCCACTTTCGAAGGCTGCTGGGGGGGCGGGCAGCACAGTGGCGTGCTACGCCAAGTCAGACTAGACTTCGCCATCCCGTGGGGTCTGTGAATTGCGTCGCTGTCGTCATGTTCGAGGGCTGCTGGGGTGGCCCAGCGTAGCGCCGTGCTACGCGGACTCAAAGTAGATTTCGCCATCCCTTTGGGAGCTGCGAACCGCGACGCTATCGCCATTCTCGACTGGTGCTGGGGGCGGGGCATTTCTATGCCACGCTGGGAACCCAGATTTGACCTCGCCGTCCTTGGGGGGGGATGCGAAGTGCGACGCTGTCGCCGCGTTCGGGTGTTGCTAGGGGGATCCAGCGGAGCGACGCCCCGCCGGGGACTCAGATTAGACATCACCATCCGGCATGGCGAGGTCTAATCTGAGTCCCCAGTGGGGCGGGCGAGCTAGGCCTCTCTCGCATCTTGCATTAGCTGCGAACAGGTAGCTCATCATTCAGGGCGCCAGGGCGGCACCGCTGCTAGTCAGCGAGCTACTTGCGAAAACCGCCGTCCTCCTTTCTCATCCCCCCTCCCTCGTTGCAGTCCGCTTCCTCCGCCGTCACCCTGCAGTTGCCGCATTGACTTTCGGGCCCCCCTTTCCGTCCTTCTCCTCCCCCTCCTGCCCACCACAATTTCTCTCCGAGCCTCGGGCCTCGCTCCTCGTCCTTGTATCGCTGTCATGTGAGCCGTTCAGCGTGCGCGTACCCGATGTAACCTGCACCACAAAAGTCGGTTCTTGCACGGGCACTATCCATACACACCGTGGGCCTAATACCTTGGCCACTTGGTTCAAAGGCGTTGGGGACGTCGCAGGGTAAGTTGAATTGTGCCCCCACGTTGACGTTTAATTGCGCTCCGACATTCGCCGCTCCTCGAGATAAGTTCGTTGTGGTTTCCTATCCCTCATGTGTTGGGTGGCCCTGACGAGGTTTTGGGAGAGGGTGCCGAAACGCACCCGGAGCGTTGCAAGGCCCGATGGTGCAAACCCGACTGGTTTGGCAGTGGCACCGGGGAGGCCCACATTCAGGGGAGGTTGTGCGGCACCGCTTCACGATGTGCCGTCAACCGATCATGCAGGGGGGGGGCCTTTCCTCATTTTCGGTGCCTCGTGCGCCGAGACGCCTGAGTCGCTTGTGGCTCGTGTGCTGTTCTTGCCTTGCCTTGCATGTGTTGGGTTCTCGTTTTGAATAGAGCACAGGTTTCCGCCTCCTCCCGCCTCCTCCTCCTCCTCCTCCTCCTCCTCCTCCTCCTCCTCCTCCTCCTCCTCTCGTCCCCTCTCTTCTCTCCTGCCTCTTACCTGGTCCTGTCCTGTCCGTCAGCCTGCCTCCTACCTCGCCGTCCTACCTGTGAACTTGCCATGCCTGGGGGGCTGCGAACTGCGAAATGTTCGCCACGTTCGACGGTTGCTGGGGGATCCAGCGGGGTCAGAAAAATTGCTCGAAGTAGCAGAGCAGCCGCAGATTGATACTCTATATCGGTCGTTTGATAAAAGCTCGAGCAGCTGGTGGAGCTCACGTCTCCAGGAGTGGCAGAGCGGGGCCATCAGTCATACCGCGCTCTCGAGATTTAGTCAAAAAACCGTTCGATCAAGCAGCTAAGCGGTTGCAGAGCGATACTCGTCGTCCGAAGATAACCCGAGTAGGAGACCGATGTTGGGTCTCTCGGAGTTGGGGACCAAAGAGATCTTTTAGGTGCTCTGAATATCGAGATCCAGTCCGCCAACTGAACGCGAAAGGTCCCAGGACGAGTTGCCGCCGCCACATTTCCCCCCCTTCCGAGCGATAGGATCGAGCTGAGATCAAGATGGTGAACAGGAATCAGATCGTAGCTGCCCAGAAACATCGTCCCACCCCCAGAAGTCTTACACGGATCAGAGCGGTACCTTGTTGTCGTTGCGGGGTTGCGAATTGCGACTTTGTCGCCACCTTGGAGGGTTGCTGAGGGGTCCAGCGGAGTGAAGTATTACGCAGATCAGAGTGGGACCTCGCCGTCGTTGCGGGGGGTGCGAACTACAAAATTGTCACCACGTCCGAGGGCTGCAGGAGATTCTGGCAGAGTCACGTCTTCCGCAGATGACAGCGGGACCTCGCCGTCGCTGGATTGCTGCGAATTGCGACGCTGTTGCCACTTTCAAGAGCTACTGAGGGGTCCAGCGGAGTGATGTCTTCCGCAGATCTGCGCGGAACTTCGCAGTCGTTGGGTGTGTGCGAATTGCGGAATTGTCACCACGTTCGAGGATTGGCGGGTTCAGGAGAGGCTCTGGTTTTGGGGGCGTTTCTTAGATCCAGGTCGGGAGCATTGTTCGTGGTCGAGGCTCGCCGTGGCCAGGGAAGCCACGTGGTTTATTTTTCAGCGTCCCGTATGCAGCTTCCCTTCTAGTAGCATGATGACCGTAGGCCCCCCCTCATGGGGCCAGAGTGGATGGGGTTGGAGGTTCACGCCACATTGCAAATGCATCGGCGATGCGGCTCGATTCACAATTTGTTCAGCTTCCTCCCGTCTTGTCGATTTGGTGCCGTTGCGTCTGCGAGGCTGTGCGATCGTCGGACTCTATTCACACGCGCCCTGAGCTCCCGACGGAGGCGAGCGAAATGGCATCTGAGGGGTGCAGCGCAGCCACGGTTGGACGCGGCTCAGAAAGCAGGACAGGACGACGAGGATTGTTCTTGTTGCGGTAGCGCCACTTCTGATCGTTCAGGATAGCGAACGGAGAACGATTCCAACCATTTCGTAGTTTCACACTCGTTCGCAAAGCTCTCCCACTCCCCATTTCCGCTGCAGGGCCACGCTCCTGTTGACCCAGGGATTGGCATGCGTTATAGAAGTTCCCGCGCGCTATAAACATCACCAGGCGAGAAATATCTTTAAATGCAACTGCCCGGCGTGGACCAAATGACGAGATCATCGGCGTGATTGGTGTGGGGCAGGACATAACAGACCTCAACCAGATCATGGCTCAGAATGAGCGTTTCGCCGCAGACTGGCAGCGGCTCATTCAGACCGCGAATGCGCCCATCTTCGGCGTTGATATCAACGGTCTCGTGAATGAGTGGAACTCCAAGTCGGCAGACATATCGGGCTACTCCAAGCAAGAGTCGATGGGCCACCACCTGGTGCAGGAGTTCATCACCCCAGAGCACAGGGAGAGGGTGCAGGCCGTGCTGGCAGAGGCGCTGAAGGGTGACGAGACGGCCAGCTTCGAGTTTCCGTTGGCCACTAAGGACGGGAAGCGCATCGACATCCTGTTGAATGCCACCACGAGGCGAGACGAGCACGGAGCTGTCGTTGGAGTTCTGGGCGTGGGCCAGGACATTACGAACATGAAGGCAGCTCTCACCGACAACGCGCGCATTGCTGACGACCTGACGCGCTTGATTGACACCGCGAACGCACCGATCCTCGGGATCGATACCGACGGGCGCGTGACCGAGTGGAATCAGAAGGCCGCGGATCTGTCGGGCTACTCGAGGGCAGAAGCCATCGGCAAGGCTTTTGTGGAGGTCTTCATTTCGGAGAAATTCAGGGCTGAGGTCAGCCAAGTTTTGACAATGGCACTCGCTGGAACAGACACCGCCAACTATGCGTTCCCACTGTTCACCCGAGACGGCCGTAGACGTGAGATTTCTCTGAATGCCACGGCACGCCGTGGACCACATGGCGAGATTACGGGTGTTATTGGAGTCGGTCAAGATTTCACCGAGCTCAACGCGATTATGGCTCAGAATGAGAGGCTCGCTGCTGACTGGCAGCGGCTGATTCACACTGCCAATGCTCCAATATTCGGCGTTGACGTCACAGGCCATGTGAACGAGTGGAACGTCAAGATAGCAAGCATCCCGTGTGCTTTGCGGCATACCGTTTAGAAATGTGTGGCATTCGGAGGATAAGCAGTCGGGGGACAGCAGCCGATAGCCGAGATGAACGTGATGATGACGATGGGAACGAGCACGATGGTGGTGATGATGATGCTACCAGGAAGTTGGATACACATGACGTGGCCAGCTTGGGCAAGAGCTGGATGCACATGTGGCCGCGTGTCTTTCCAGCGCTCGGCCCGTCTATGGCCAGGCCCAGCTTCCGCACGTGTTTCATGACCCCCACATGTTCCACGCGTGAATCCAGCCATGTGTGCGTGTGCGTGCGTGAGTGCGTGCGTGCATGCGTGTGTGTGTGTGTGTGTGTGTGTGTGTGCGTGTGTGTGTGTTTGTGTGTTTGTGTGCGTGTGCGTGCGTGCGTTCGTGCGTGTGTGTATGTGTGTATGTGTGTGAATGTGAGCGCGTGTGTGTGTGTGTGTGTATGTGTGTGTGTGTGAGCGTGAGCGTGAGCGTGAGTGCGTGAGCGTGAGTGCGTGAGCGTGCGTGCGTGCGTGCATGCGTGCGTGCGTGCGTGCGTGGGTGGGTGGGTGGATGGGTGTGCGTGCGTGCGTGCGTGCGTGCGTGCGTGCGTGCGTGTGTTTGTGTGTGTGTGTGTTCGTTCGTTCCCCCGCCAAGTGCGGGACGCCGTATCTTCTCACCTTTTCAGCCCAAGCCGCGCGCCAAGGCAAACAAACAATGCAGGCGGCGGTGGGTTATGGGGAAGTGCGCGGGTGGGGCACGGTCCGCAGTGCAGCCACCCAACACCAACATGCACAACCCGCACGCTGCTTTTGGAAGCACCCAACCGCCAGGCCCGGCCCTATCCTCGCACTGGTGGGCCCAGCCTTTGCACAAACACACGCGACGCAAGATAGCCACGGTGCTGCAGGCCAAACGCTACCTGCAGCCCGTGCTGTGTGCGCGCTGTCTCTGCGAGGGTGGGTGTCAGTCGGTTCTGGGTGGCGTGATGGGGCGCACCTGCACCGCGCGACTCCGCACAAGGCTCACGGTAGCATGTGGGAACGCGGGTGGGTGAGAGAGCGTGTTTGAGCCACACGTGCGCTCGTGTGTAAAAGGGGGAGGAGGGCAAGGGGGGCCACGAAGAGGGCAGGAAACAGAGCCAGTGAGGAGAAGTGGAGAGGAGGCAGAAGGCCAGGCAGGTGGCGGAGGAAAGGGGGAGGGGAGGGAGAAAGGGGAGGAGGAGAAGGAGAGGGAAGGGAGAGGCGGAGGAAGGGGGACGGGGAGGGAAGGGAGAGGACGAACGGGCGAGGAGGCAGAAGGCCAGGCAGGAAGCGGAGGGAGGGTGATGGGGGAGGGGGGGAGAGAACGACGAGAACGACTACTCGTGGGCCGGGGTCAGCGGACACACCACAGCACGACACAGCACAGCACCGCACATCACATCACAGCACAACACATCACATCACTACACATCACAGCACACGCCGCTTGGCGTTTGTGTGTGTGAATGTGTGTGAATGTGTGTGTGTGTGTGAATGTGTGTGTGTGTGTGTGCGTGGTCGTGTGCGTATGCGTGCGTGCGTGCGTGTGTGCGTGTGCGAGTGCGTGTGCGTGCGTGCGTGCGTGCGTGCGTGCGTTCGTGCGTGCGTGTGTGCGTGTGCGAGTGCGTGTGCGTGCGTGCGTGCGTGCGTGCGTGCGTGCGTGCGTGCGTGTGTGTGTGTGGGTGCGTGTGTGTGTGTGTGTGTGTGTGTGTTGGGGGGGGGGGTGTTCCAGCTCTCTGGTGCTGGCTTTGATGGTGGCACCAGCAACAGCGCTGATGTGATGTTTGGAAGCCGAGGGCGTGCAAGTCTCGGAGAAGGCCCCCCCCCGCTGGCAGATCGCCGTTTCGTGGCCTGTGTTTCGTGCTCTCGTGCCCCCGCTTCTTCTGCACCGCCCAGCCCCTGCCGCCCAGCGGCCGACCAAGTTTGGTGACGCGCCAAAGGGGAGAGTGAGAGGGAGCAAGGCTTCTCAGAAGGCGGCGGGCCTTTTGTTTCTTCTGCGATGCGATTCGATTCCGACTCCGATGCAGCCCGATCCGGCGCACCTTCCCATTCGATCTGGTTTCCCGTTTCCGTATGTGTTGATCTTGATTGGGCGATTGATTACCCGTAAGGGGTTCACCCCCATGCCGCCGGCCTCCTTCTCTTAGAATGGAACTTGCCAGAGCTGTGTTGGGATGTCTGGACGTTGACGTGAAGCAATGTCGGGACTTCGCAAACTGCTGAATATCTCACAACTGCGAACTTTGCATAATTTACGAGGGTGTATTTTGGGGGGACGCGAATATCTCGTAAGTTCCTAGGGCTTATGGCCTCGAGGACGCAACTATTGCGTACTTTACGAGGTTGTATGGCTTCGGGGATGCGAGGGTTTATGGCCTCGAGGGCGCGAAGACTGCGTAATTTACGAGGGTGTATAGCTTCGGGGACGCGAGTACTTTGTATTTAACGAAAATGTATGGCTTCCGGGACGGAAACATTGTGTAATTTACAAGGTGTATGGCCTCGGGGACGCAAATATCGTTTAATGTTGTAGGGATTATGGCTTCGGGGACGCGATTCTTGTATAATTTACGCGGCTTATGGCTGGGGATGATTGCCTCGGGGACGCGAGCACCATACATTTTTACGTGTCCCACGCCCACCCAGGAATTCAGACAACGCGATCTGGGCGTGGTAGAAAAACTTGTTTTGGGCTACCCCCCTCGCGCGTTCAGCAACAAGTACCAGTAAGGAAGCAAAGGATTGTATCAGTGGAAGCTGGAAGCTACAAGTGGAACAGGGAGCTGCAGTCCTCACCCTCGCAGCCTGGTGGCCCCACAAGGGGGGGGGCAGCGGATACCCAAAGGTTCCTCGTTCCGTTCCGTGTTGTCGCCTCTTGTTCGTTGGGCTCGCCTTCCTCTATTTTACCATTGGTCGATTTGGCCGAGACCCCAGTGCTGTTCTGCCTCGCAACGCGTTCTGCCCGTGTTCTTATTCGTTCATGCTCTCTTTTGGTTGACCCCGCTTCTCGGCGGCGAGCGAGGGGGGTAGTGAGAAGGAGAAGACCTTCTCAGAAGGCGGCCGGATTTCTCAGAAACCCTCGCGCCTTCTGAAAAGTTGTTGCATCTTCGGGGAAAGTTTAGAAAACTTCTCAGAAGGCCGGAGGACTTCCGAGCTTTCTGAGAAGGCCCGCCCCTTCTCATTCCCCCCTGGGCGCGCCGCCGAACTTCGTGCACAGGCCTCGAATCAGTTGTTGGCCCTACTGTCCTTATGTCGCAGTGATTTCGTACTCCTGTCGTTTGAAGAACTAACCTCCCTCCACAGTCTCCAAATATACGTTGTGCGTGGGGTTTGGCCTGTCACTGGTTGCCCCGTCGTCCTGGACTTGTTTGGAGCCTGTGAGGCCTTGCCTGCCTGGGGCTGTGATTACCTTGCGGTCGCTGGATGGCTAGGCGGACGCAAGTGCAGAGGAGCAACAGGAGGAGGAGGCGGAGGAGAAGGAAAGAAGGGACATTCGATGTTTTTCGTTTGGAACTCAGTGCAGGCTTCGAATTCGCCCGAGCTCGATGCGGCCTCTGCGTAGTGCCCCCTTTGGCAGAAAGCACGGGGCTGTGCGCTGAGCAGGTGTTAGGGCCTCCGCGAGGCTCGGCCACTCCTCGCGTACAACATTCTGGCCGGGCGTGCCTCCGCTTCCGTGCTGGGTGAACATGGGATATGGTAGATTAGCGTTGTGCCGACGCCGTGGCGACCCCAGCGCGGGCGTTCAAGGATGAACGCCCCGGTGGCCCAGAATCGGCCGATATATAACGATTCACGTTATCGGAAAGCCGCGATCGTTCAGGGCTGAACGATGCATGCGGTGTGGGAAACCAATGCGCGAGGCGTCACGACGTGAACCCGCGTGCAGATCAAGCGAAGCGCAGGTTCAGACTACAAAAAGGCTTCTGAAAGTGTCGAAGGAAGTTTCCTCAGGTCTCCATTGGTCCTGAGAGATCAGGCGTGCTTCCGTTTCTGTGATGGGCGAACAGAGCGGGTACAGACGGATGTGGTCCGAAAGTGGCGAAGGAGGGCCAGCCAGTACTGAGTTCCCCGTGTGCCCTCAGGAATTCCTACGAGTCTCGCCGAGGGCATCACGGCGTCGTGAGGTCTAGCGATTGGCTCAACGCTCCCCGCTTCGGGAAACGTTGCGTCAATCGCCTATGCTCCTCGCCTTGCGGAGCCCGAACGGTTGAGGGAAAACGGTGGGCATGCAATTGTTGGAGATGGTTTTAGAAAGGGGGAGTTGGAGAGGAGTTTGAGGAAAGCACAGATGTCGGGAGGTGATTCCAGATGCTCGGAAGCCAGGGTGTATTCCACGCCTTCTGACCATCCAGAGGGGGCCCGACGGATCTCTGGCTTCTCGAAGGACGACACCATGGGCAGGCCTTTGGTGCGCGACTTCATCACTCCGGAGCATCAGGTCGCGGTCCCAAAGCGTTCACCTCTAAATTCTCCCTCCTTCCTTTTGTCTGTATCCCCAGGCCACAAGAGGGCTGCTTGTTTTCTTCTCTGGGCACCCCCCGCTCCACCACCTCACATTTCTGTCCTCCCCCTCAGCCCTACTTCCCTCACAATAACCGCCAGTCTCCTCGTTGCCCTCACCCTCGCCCTCCTCATCACTCCGCTCACTCTCTTCCTCACCCGCACCGCCAGTAACACCCACTCTACACATATCGGCACTCTCACCCGCGTCTTCATCACCCTCGAGCAGCAAGAGCGTGAGTGAAATACGTCCCTCGCGACAGCCGCTCTCCCTCTCGAAAATGGGGCGTGCAAGCACATGGCTTGTAAGAGCAGTGAATAAGTATGGGTGGGCGTAGGGCCTGTTGGGATCACTTAATTTGTACAGTCACAGTCTTGATAAAACAGCTTGTACAAGCCCCCCCGCTTCCCCCGTGGCCGCTCGTCTGCATGGAGTCATCTACCCTCATTCTCCCTCGCCGCTTCTGCCCCCAACGTCCTCATAGGCGATCATGCATTGCCCCATCGTTGGAACATGCATTCGTGTTCAGGAAAGGGGTCGAACAGTATTCGTGTATACGCATGGCTTCAGGACCCATCAGGAGCGAGTCCAGATCCTCTTGACCCAGGCACTGGAAGGCGACGAGACAGCAAACTTCGAGTTCCCTCTGGCAACAAAGGACGGGAAGCGTATAGACATCCTGTTGAATGCTACCACGAAGCGAGATGAGCGTGGTGTGGTCTACGGAGTAATGGCTGTGGGCCAGGACATCACGAACTTGAAAGCAGCGCTCACTGAGAACGAGCGCATTGCGGACGACCTGACAAGATTGATCGACACGGCTAATGCGCCGATCCTTGGCATCGATACCGAAGGGCGCGTGACAGAGTGGAATCAGAAGGCAGCAGATGTGTCGGGATATAGCAAGGCTCAGGCCGTCGGCAAAATATTTGTCGAAAGTTTCATCTCAGAGAATTCCAGAGACGAAGCTAGGCAAGTATTAACAATGGCGCTTGCTGGAACGGATACTGCCAACTACACGTTCCCGCTTTTCACCCAGGATGGTCGCAGGCCGGCTCTTCTTTCATGCTTGCCAGCCATTGTGGAACAAGCATGATTTTTCTAGGCTCCGCAGCAGTAGAACAATGTTCGGCAGCAGAAGCTTGGGAAGGGTCTGTCGCATCAGCGTCCTGGGGGTAGAATGCGAAGTATTGAAATCGCCATGCTGCCCATGACCAGTTTGGTAGAAACGCGCTAAGCTTTCCCAGAGGTCCATTGGACCCTGCAGTTATACAAGCACATCCTTTCGAGCGAGGATGTCTTTAACATGTGGACTTGGAGGTTCCCAGATCATCCGTTCTCCAGAAATCTGAACGACCCCCTCGAAGACGCAGCTTGATGGGAACCGATTTGAATTCCAAACTGGAGATGCCAGAGTAATCACCGCCACTTCTGTTTTCGAGCGCCGAAATTTCGAGCGTGGAGTGCAACTGTCGGTTGCTCTCCACATCTTAAGTGGGGTCTTTGATGTCTCTGGACCCCCCGCGCAGGAACAAGAACCCACCACATCATCATCAGCACATCACCACCATCACCAATCAATCACCACCCATCGTTATCCACTCACTCTCTCACTCAATCACATCCACTCACCACTCACTCATTCATTATCATGTCATGGTCCCGTCATGTTCATCGGCCTCATTCTCATCGCCATCATCAACACCATCGCGCACCTCCATCGTCATCACTATCTCAATCCCATCACGATCATCGACCAAGCGGGAGAGTTGTCTGTGAGTCACTCATGAGGAAATCTCAGGCCAGAGCCCCCTCCCGATGGGGCCCGCAGCTCATGTTATTCATCCGAGCGGGTCATCGGGATCTTGTAATTCTCGTCACTTCTAGCCTCTTCGAGATTGAGAATGGAGGGGGTCTCAGGCGGGAGCACGGTTTGTGAGTGACTTGCGAGGAAGTCTCAGGCAGGAGCCCCCCCCCTCTGAATGCGATAGGGGACATCATTGTCTGTGTATATTGCCGTGTGCCGCCGCCACCTCGGCTCAAGGCGAGGGTGGGCGGGAATCGATTTGTATGCGCCTGCGAATTCGCAGCCAGAACCGCGCTTCTGGGGACGCGTTCGAGAAAACATGCGAGAGCAGTGGGTTCTCAGTCTCTCTTCGTGAGTGTGATTGGGACAATCTCTGGGAATCATTTCGGAGGAGCTGGAGGTGTTCGTCTTTCTGGACCTGAACCTCTTGAGGGTCCTTGGGATTCAGATTAATAGCGGAGCCTGTGGTAACCACCGCGGGCTCACACCAGTCTCGCTGCCATGGCGCCGGGTGGCAACGACCTCTAGGCTGGAGGTGCCGACATGGAACGAGGAGGCCGACAAGCTCTCTAGCTACCGTTTCGAGGTGTCCATGTTCGTGAAGAGCATACGCGTGGCCGACCGCTACGTCTGCGGACCACAGCTGGTCCGAGCGCTCGGGCCACGCGTGAGGAACGCTGTGGAAAGCTGCCCGAAGATCGACCAAGTGGACACGGTCGACGAGGAAGGGAACCTTACAGGCTGGAATGCGGTCTTCGAATACGTGCTGGATAAGCTGGGCTACGCGAGCTTGAACGACACTGGCCTGCTGGCCGAGGAGTTATTCTTGAAGATCTCCAGGAATTCGAGGGAGACGTTCCAGGATTGGGCAGCCAATTTCGAAAACAAGGAGCGGGAACTGCTCACACAGCGGCAGGCCATCGATGTGAACGTGCGCGAGGTGATCGCAAGCCCCTCCGGACATGGTGGTTTCCACGAAAGACACGATTGATTCCAGTTCTTCGAGGAAGAGTGACGGCGACCGCAGGAGGGGATTTCGCCTTTCCGAAGACCTACATTACCCTCTTGACGCGCTTCCCTGCGGAGGCTCTGGCGGAGCTTGGCGGCAAGACGAAGCGCGAGAAGGCCCTGCACGAGGACGACGCCATCGACGACGAGTGCGAGACTGGTGGGGAGAATGAAGAACTTTACGAGATGGTCGAGCAGTTGATCACCATCGCCAAAGAGGAAGACGATGAGCACGAGGACACTGCCGACCTGGAAGCGGACAATGCGATGCACGCGCGCTTCCGACAAGCAGGACGGAATTGCAAGGACACCCGAGATCTATTTCGACAGGTGCGCGCGGCTCGCGACTATTACCCGGTGTTGGTCCCTAAGAACGAGCTGCTGGACCAGCGGGGCCCGCCTCTTCCTCGGCCGCGCCCCGAGGGCCGCCCGCGCCAGCCTGGCAAGGGCCGTGGTCGCGGACAGCCAGATCGCCGCGTTCGATTCGAGAGCGGCCGCGACATGACGAAGATGAAGTGCATCCCGCGCCGGCAGTTCGCCCGAACAAGAACAAGCTGACGACGAACAACACCGGGGGCTCGACCAACACTCACAACGGCGTCTTTCTGTCGGCCTTGGACGAATACGTCTACTCGCTGGGGCGCGACGGGATCTGGGCCGCCTTGGACATCGGGGCGACCAGCGGCCTGGGAGGCATCGAGAACGTGGAGAAGTTGATGCATGAGATGCTGGGCGTGCACGGGTTCGAGTTCGATGCTTCCGACGACATCTGCTCATTCACGTTCGGGGACGGACTCTGGAAGAGCTCCATGGGCTCGGTCAATGGCAAGGTGTTCAAAGGTCCCACCCCCCACGACATCGGCCTTTCTGCGATGGCGAACCGGGTTCCTATTTTGCTAGGCATGGACATCCTGACTGACGATCTGAAGGTGGTCGCGGATTGCGGACGGAACTGGCTGGGCTTGCCGACTCTTGGGATCAAAGCGTTCCATTGCGAGGGGCTCTCGAGCAAGCACCTGGCGATCAACCTGTCAACTCCGCAGCGGCGGCGAGAGGTGCCTTTTCCAATGGCGCCGGCCTCCTCACAGGACGACCTGACAGAGACGGGCCAGGCCGTGCTGGGCGAGACGTCGGAGGAGCCCAGAGCGGGCTGCGCCGGCTGCCTCGCCGCGCGCAAGGGGCGGCGCGCCCTGGTGAAGGCGGCGAGCGAGAGATCATGTCCATCGCCATCTTCATCATCGGGGGGGCCCAAACAACATCCTCTTGTAGCCCTCGGAGAACCGCGATCCAGAAGCCCTTCGCAGAGACCGACGTCACCGCCCAGTGCGATGTCGAGAGCGAGCCGAACAAGAATGCCACCGATTTCGGCGGCGCGCCGATCGAGCCCGACGAAAGCGACATCTCCGAGCAGAGCGAGGGGTCCGAACCCGACGAGTCCATTGGGGACCTTGGAAGCAGAGAGTAAGGCGCGTCAAACAGCGGGGCTTCTGCGGAGCTCAAAAGACCTTCCTCAGAGACTTCAAGACCAGTGGGTTTTCCAAGAGACCAACGAGAAGTCGTCCAACCCAGGACTGTCGACCCAGACGAGTCCCCAAGAAAGAGAGAAATCTGTTCCTCAGCCTCGCGTGGCCCCAGAGTGTCGCGCCCCCGCGCGCGTGGAGCGCAGTTCGCCTTCTAGTCCATATCCGGGCCTGAACAGCCCAACTCGCGTGAATGCCGCGCAGCAAATCTTCCTCGGTAGCCTCTTCGGAGCAACCGCCGCGATCAGCTGCGCGGCTAGAGCGGGCGCGACCCCGGCTGCGAACACCTTCGGCGGCGTCTTCGCCAACCCCAGCACCGACGACGCCTGCCGCGGCGCCTGCGTCCCCAGCTGCGCTTCCCATCGCCGGCCCGTCGACGCCGACGTCGACCTTCGACCCAGAGGGGATGTGCTCGAGCTGCGGCGAGAAGGGCAGGGCGAAAGGCGGGTGCAGCTGCGCGGGGGGTAAGAGTCACAACTGCATCCGCCTCGCGCCCATCCACGGGGCGCCACCGCCGCCGGCGACGGCGGCCGCGGTAGCCAGCTCGCCGCCGCCGCCCCCGACGCCAGCGTGGAACGGGGCCAGCGCGCCGCCGCCGCCTCCAACTCCAGCGCAGTTGGCCCCGCCGCGGTCGAAGCGTTCATGCTGCGGAGCGCCCAACCTGACCAAGCGGGGATGCGGCTGCAACGGCTGGAAGAGTCATGCGCGCTCAAAGATGACGGTGATCGTGGACCAGCAGCCGAACGACATGAGGAGTCTGGCAGCGGCCATGCGGTGGAGGCGCATCACGATCAAACTGGCGAGGACGGCCCCGGATGGGCCCCTGGGAGGTTTGGGCCGCCGAGACGGACAGGGGCGCGATGTAAGACGATTCCGACCTGCCGGAGGCGGAGAAGAAGAAGCCTCGCTGAAGTTCTTGCACAGGGCAGACCCCCAGCAGTTCCACAGGGTGAAGGAGCAGGTCGAGGGTGAGATCTACCAGTGCGTCGCGTCAGACATGCTCGGGTTGACGAAGACCAAGCGAATGGACCTGATGGAGGTCTGCTGTCCCGGGACCTCGACTCGGACAGGCCGTGGCTGGCCAGCTCGGCCTGGCCGTCCGTTGCGGGCTGTTCAACGGTTGCGACAAGGCAGCGGCGAGCGGTGCATCTACTGCGTCGGACACGTCCGCGACGCCTGGCACTCAGCCCGCCCTGCGCCGCGGACTGCGCGATCCAGGGCCTCAACCAGAAGACGGAGGATCAGCGAAAGCAGCTGCCGGACAAGATCCGTCGGGCCCGCCGCAATCAGCGGAACTGCCTCATGCTCTACGAGGGGGCCAAGAAGATCAGCGACTGCCACGTCGACCTCGAGCAGCCCTGGAACAGCCGGAG